TATATATATACTTTTATTCTTTTTTTATTAATTCTCAAAATTTCAATAAGCATTCTTTTTTTACTTTTTGGCACTGTATTTCACACCTTTTCCTCAAATATTTGTACATCCATTACTTATATATACAAATTTCTTTTTATAGAATCTATATATAATAGTCCTATCTCTTATCAAAATGAATTCCTCCGACTCAAAAGAGCCTTCACCATTTGCCAACTATAATTTTATGGCAGCCCAGAGTTTTGCTAAAAAAAATAAGTTTTCTAAAAAAACTTCCCCTTTCACTAGCTTCAAAGATTCTCAAAATATTTTAAAAACTTCTCCAAAAAACGCTTCTATTCCTTCAAAAAATTTACTCTCTCCTGCAATTGGTACTCATTTCAACTCATTATCAGCTTCTCAATCTTGCGCTTCACATGATAATTATAACAATAACTCAGTTGACTCAAGTATAAAGTCATATGATGTTAAACACGTTAGACCATCTCATCTTTCGAATGTAGAATTTGACTCCTCTTTAGAATATTCATATCGGAAATCTCGAGCAAATACTACCTCTCTATCTGAAAATTTTGCTCTGGATTTAAACACTATTGATATTAACTCTATAACTCACAATAACAGCCCGTTTATTGCAGATTCAACTTCAGATTTGTTTAAAGCCCAGCATAAATACGAAAACTTTGATAAATCGTCGTTTTCGCACAAAAAATCTTCTAGCTTTTATTGTAAAAATGCTACTCAATCTTCTCTCGAGGTTGGTAAAAAACAAACCAATGGTATACCTTCTAAAAAAAATAGCTTATCTGATGAAATTTTTATAACTGCTAGAGACTCTCAGCTTTTTGTTGCTGATTTATCTAAACAATATTCTAACACAAATAAACTCAAAACTCTTTATGAAAATAAAATTTATAAAAATGCTACCGATGGATCAAAAAGCTTATCGGCCTTTGAAAATTCATCTGAAAATTTTGAAATTCCTCTTAATTATATCAGTCCCTCGTATAAACAAGTTGAAATGTTGGATTACACTTACACCAGTTCTGTTGAAGATAGCAATGATCTTGAAGAGCCATACTTTCTCGGCCAGACTACCGAGTATGTTGTTAAAAAATGCTATATACACTTCAAATTAGCCGCTCAAAAAATAATTAGCCAAGTATCAGAAGCTCGCTTAGATATTGATTTTGATCTTTCTAGCATTCTTGATATTGGTGTAAATTCCGAGCTCGATTCTATTTTAGATACTCTAGGAACATTATCTAAAATTCACACTCAACTTATTGTAGAGCTTTTGTTGATTTGGCGTAAAGGTACTGTAGATAAGGCTCCTGCTACAACAAGCATTGTTCAAGAGCGTGCTAACCATCTTATTAGAGAGCGTAAGTCTCTAGCAACTGCATTTCTACTTTGTCGTGCTTTATTACAGGTCACTTCTAATATTGATCTTTTGACACTCAATGATGATTTTGGCGATCGCATTGAAGACCTTGTTTTTACTCAGATACAAAGCGCCAATCCTACTAATTTGCAACATTCTAAAAATCGAAAGGCTATTCAAGATCTTTATGCACAGATTGCAGGTGAAATTTCTAGAGTTCGCTTTTCTTCTATAAGCGACAAATTTATAGCTGCTCTTGAGAGAATGCCAATACAATCTAAATACGATGTGGAAAAGTGCGTTGTGCTTATTAGAAGTATGCGATATTTAAAGCTTGCCGTTCATCCAATGGATGCTCTAGAGGAAAGCTCCCAGTTTCTTTTAAGCTGTGCCAAATTCTTTGCTAGAACTTCTGGCAGCATGAGGTTAAAGCATTCATGGGCTATGACCTTAACAGAGCTCCTTATGCCTTTAGCAAGTGACGTTGGTGCTGAAGTGAATTTACCTATTTTATCTCAAGCAGTAGAGATTATTTATTCTAAAGCTTTTAAAATGTCTCAGCGCGTTAGACATATTTTTGTTGCATTTCCACTTTTGTCTGCTTCTCTTTGCTTATCTAGAAGCGAATTTTTTTATTCTAAATGGCAAACTCATTTGGAAGCTTGTATTCAGAGACTCAAAGATAAACATCATAGGCTTGTTTCTATAGATTCTATAACTCGTATTCTCTGGGTTTACATATTTCGTTATCCTGAAGTTCAGAGCGTTGTTACTAGAAAACTCGATTCTTTGTTAAGGATATTATTTCCTGTTTTAAAGTCTCGAACATGGCAAAAAACTATTGGATCCGAGTCAATTCTTTATATTCTAGTGTGTATGGGGTGTTATAACTTTGATTTCATGATGAAAAACACTTTCAAGCACATGCTGGGACTAAACAAAATTCCCAATAACTCTTCAGACTGGAACAATAGCTCTATATTAGATACTGCTTTAGAGGATTTAAATCCCGAGCGTGCCCTTCTTGCATATAATGCTATTATAGAGATTGCAAACATTTACTCTATTTATGAGTTAAAATATCCACAATTTCCAATACAAACCTGCCTTGAATTTTATGATGGATATTTTGGAAGTAAGCGCGAGAAAGTATTTCATGATCAGGGTGGCTCCGAATCAGATCTTTCTTTAACTGATATGAATCATAGTGTTTACAAATTTCAAAAGAATATTATAATTGAAAAGCTACCTGAAAATATTGCATCTGCTTTAAATCAATCTATAAATGCTATGTCGTTTTATTTTTGCAAACTTCAATCCGTTTTTGGTGATAATATTCTTTTTAATCAGAATATTTGGGATGTTGCAAAAAATATTTCTCCGTATTCTGATATATCTATTTCAGGCAATAGAACTAGCACAAAAAATGATCAAAATTATCTCTCTTTTAAACAAAATTATTCACTAAAAGATGATAACGCAAATTTTTTATCTTTTGTTTCTAACTTAGGCTCTGATCGTATTGAGAATCGAAATATATTCGAAACCAATGACTTTGAAACATATGGTGTTGAAGTTCCAGGAAGTAACATAAAAACTCCAAACTCGGCTACAGCTGCACTTTCTAGATCTTTTTCGTTTACTTCTCAAATATCGAATAGCAAAATGTATAATAATGCTACAGAGAAACAAGATAACAAAATTTCATCATCAATAAACTCAAAGTATAAACAGCTTTACTTTGATTTAATGGCTAGTTTTTTATCTAGTATTTCAATTGTTAAAGTTTTAAAGCTCCCATTACCTATTGACCGCGTGATAGAAATACTTATTTTGGGAGCTGTACATGTCGATTTACGTTATTCCTCTGTTTGTAGACTTCTCATCAGTGAAATTATAAATCCTGACACTATTGATAAAAGTTTATATTTATTAACTTTGGGTTTTTTGGATTCGGTTAACTTTGTGGATAAACAAGAAATAAAGTC